AATTACCCCAGCACAATGACTGAGTCAGACATATAGAATCCTGGTTTCATGGTTGCAGGATAGGCATTCTTGGGAGAAGTACAAGGACACATACTACCATGCAGTAACTGCAGAGCCAGCTTGGGGGACATTATTAGCTTAGTAGGGAGGGAGGCTGGTGTGCACAGTGAATTGGAAAAAGTTCCACAGAAAATGTGAGGTGGGAGTGGCAGTACCAAGGCTCAGGTGATAAGAGCATCTGCGTAGCAATCGCAGGACCTAGCAAAGCTTGCCCAGGCAAAGGCAAAGGGATCAGTTCAAGGTCATCTTCCAGATAATTCAAGGCCAGTCCGTTCCAGAAACCCTGTCTCAACACTAAGGGGCTGGTGAAAGCTCTACGGCTCGGTAGAAGCCCTCTTGCCTAGCATTCATGAGGCTGGGTTCAGTCCCCATAGACAAAATAAACTGACACATGGTAAGGCTCTCACGGGAATTCCTTGGGTAGGTAGAATGGGAGGACACCCAGGAAGAGGCATTACATGGTATTCCTGTTAACTATGGTGCTTTTGTATCATCAAGCAATGTGGACAGGCGGGGCTGGGAGAGAAAGGCTGTGCTGAAGGGAGAAGGGGGCCAAGAGAGTAAGAACAAGGAAGTTGAGCTGGGCAGTGGTGCGGTGGCACATGCCTTTAGTTCCAGAATGTGGGAGGCAGTCCAATCTCTTGAGACTTGAGTTCAAGGCCAACCTGGTCTACAAAGGACAGTCAGGGCTACACAGAGAAAAAGAGAGAGGGAGAGAGGGAGGGAGGGAGAGAGAGAGAGAGAGAGAGAGAGAGAGAGAGAGAGAGAGAGAGAGAACAGCAAGACTGAGAAGTGAAGAAAAATAACAACCCTGTGGCATGATAAAGAATTTAGACTTCTGGGCAGTGAGGGACCCCGCAGATGAAGGCACTTATTTACAAATATAGCAACCTCAGTTTGATCCCTGACCAAGACTTCTGGAACTTGTCCTCTATCCTCTAAAAGGTACCTCCCATGATTCACATACACAAGAAATAATCATACATAAATTTAAAGTAGTTTGTGCTTTTCTTCCAGGGAAGGAGACACAGAAATATTCTGACATACTGCCATCCAGTTCATACACAATGTTACAATATGAGTGTGAAAACTCCCCCCGGCCTCATGTGTTGCAAGGTTTGCTCTCCGCTTGGTGGAGCTACTTGGAGGAGATAAAACCTAGCTGGTTGGTAGCGTCCATCCCTAGAAGATACCTAGTCTCAGACCCCTTGTTTGTCTTTTTCCTGGTTGTCATGAAGCGAACAGCCTTCTTCACACATTCCCACCACCATGATGTTCAGCCTCGATTGGTTTCTGGCCACGTTGAACAGATAATTGGGTTTGTTGAGGACATCAGCTGTGGATCTGTGGTTTAAGCAAAGGACTTTTTTTGTTTTACTATTTATTCAAATCTTATGTGTTCAGATGTGAGAAGTAGATTCCAGCAGCACAAAGATCACCAGGGACTAACATCAACTCCTCTCAGTAAACGGTCTCTTCTACCACCTCTTGTGGAAGCCTTAAGTCACTGAAGTCATGGCAGAGCCAGAAACAGATGTCCAAGTCCAATTCTTAAAAGGTATTTCAGCTTTTAAAATTTGTGTATGTGTACACTATGTGTGTGCAGGTACCAACAGAGGGCAGAAGAGGACATCAGATCCCCAGCAGTTAGAGTTAGAAGTGATTGTGAACTGCCCAACAATGGGTACTGAGAACCAAACTCAAGTCCTATGGAAGAACAGCAAGTACTCCTAATCACTAAGCCATATCTCAAACCCTCTGTATTTCAATTCTTAGAGTGTCACAGTTAGAATGAATTATGTACCACAGACAAGAGGAAATACTTTGAAGGTCTTATACTTCAAGTTAAAGTCCAAAAAGTCCCCAGCTATAAAATGTCTGACCTCATCTGTTAAGTTCCACATCTGGAGAGGTAATGTCATTCATTGTGTAATACTCAGTTTGTACAATAAATGAATAACCTGGAAAAAGGGGAGAGTGTGAACTATATAATCTGTGAAACTGTGAGCCAAGATTGATGCTTACCCACAGATAATGTTTTATCCATGTCAGTTATTTGGTTGTGGCAACAATACAGTAACTAATACATGAAGGTAGGAGGGGTGTATGGAGAAAGGAGACTGCAGAGATTCCCTGTGAGGCCGGGACCAAAGGCCAAGGCCAATTTAGGAGTCATGAGAATATGGAAGAAGGCGTGGATCAGATGTTGACTGACAAGCTGTAGGGATGAGAAGGAATCACACAATACATTTGGAATAACTCCCATGTTTGCAACCTGCATCAATGGGCAGTTGGTCTTAATTATCCTCCTTAGGCTGGACAGGTGGCTCATCAGTTGAATATGAATGAGAATGGCTCCCACAGGCTCATATACTTGCATGCCTAGTCCCCAGTGAACTGTTTGGGAAGGATTGGGTGTGGCCATGTTGGAGGAGGTGTATCACTGGAAATGGGCTTTTAAGTTTCAAAATCCCAGAACCAGCCTCTCCTTTCTCTCTGTCTGTCTCTGTTCTCTGTCTCTGTATCCCCCCCAACCCCCTCTCTGGCTGCTGCCTGTAGATCAAGATACAAAGTTCTCACTACTGCTCCAGTCTGTTTCCTGCCATGATGGTCATGGTCTAACCCTTTAAAACTATAAGTAAGGCCCCAATTAAGTGCTTTCTTTTATAACAGCTGCTTTGGCCATGGTGTCTCCTTACAGCAATAGAACAATTACTAAAATACTGTTCTTCTGCAAGATCCAAGTTGGCATTTGGGAACCCATGTAAGATAGTTCACATCTGCCTATAACTCCAACTCCATGGGTCTACAAAGTGAGTTCTACAACAGCCAGGGCTACACAAAGAAAATCTATCTCAAAAAAAAAAAAACTCAAAACAAAGAGCCAAAAACAAAACAAAAACCCTTCCTGTATCAGAGACATGGCTCAAAGACTCTTGCCCCTGCCAGGATTGGTGACCTCAGCTTCATCCCTGGAACCTACGTGGCAAGACAACCAACTCCTACAAGTCGACCTCCACATGCATGCCATGATATGTGTGTGCATGCATGAATACACACACCAAAAATAAATGTAAAAAACATCTAGGCTGAGGTACATAATTCTTTCCCAGCATGAGACACGGTTTAATCTCCAGAAGGGAAAAAAAACACCTTATTTTGCTATGAATGAAAATTGTTCTCTAAATTTTTATTTGATAAAAAAGTATGTTGTGTTGTTTGGAAAGATAGAACTAGAAGCTAATCGTAAATCTGACAAAGAGGCAGAATTTGGCTCGGCTTAATTTCTAGTAATTAGAATGACCAACAGTGAAACGGACTGCTTATGAGCTGGCCTTGAACTCAGAGTAGTCCAGGCAGGCAAGCCTTGAATTTGTGATCTTCCTCTATCAATCTCCCAAGCTGAGATTAGCACCTGAACCATCAGGCCTGGCAACAAATGATAAAGGAACCTGAATGATCGGTTCTATCATTGTATGAAATTAAAGACAAATATTAGATGATCCATCACAGTATCCTACAAAAAAAAAAAAAAAATGAGTTCATGGCCATCTTAATGTTAATCTCTTCATAACATTCCTAGCCTACCATTTTCCATGGCTGTAATATCCTTCTAAAAACATCAAGCCAAGGCAGAGAAATTTACCCATTGCTACATGAGCCAAGCATACCTTTTTAGTTTTTGGCATCATTCTTAGATATTATACCACACAAAATGATCTATAGCTAGTTCATAATTTGGTATGAAGATGGCTACATACATTTATATAGTCTGCAACAATGTCTACAAGAGATTGAGAGAGTTGTGTGTGACAAGTTTCTGACCAAAAAAAAAAAGTTTTATCAAAGAAAAGTTTCAGAGTTCACTTTAGGATTCCATTTACAGTCACTGTGCTGTTTTAACTGACACAAGTGTGACTCCCATATAAAATCACTCCCTTCTGAAAAACTATTCTGTCTCTGTTTAGTAGTGCATTTCCTTTATGCTACAGGATGGGCAGGGATGGGGAAATATGGAAAGCCATCCGTTGGGTTGGGAACACTCAGGGAGCACCACCCAAACCCAGGAGGAGCCCTGCTGCAAACCTCGAGCCTCAGCCCCTCTCTGGCTTGACTGTTTGTGTACTCTGAAGTAGCCTAAGTCAGAGGTGGAATCCAGAGAGGTCCAGATGCTGAGGCCAGATGTTATATGTGAGAGGGCAGGAAAAGTGGGGGAGGTGAGTTCCCTGAGAGCATCTAGTAACTAGAGGTTGACATCAAATTACTTTTCACCACAGGACTAGGAGTTTAAAAAAGGACAGGAGTCAGGCCAGTGCTAAGTGCTTCTGTTCTACCTTAGGTTATTTACTGCTGCTATGAGACTCCCTGTCAGTGATGTCAAAAGGGAAGATATGTGGTCTGCTACAGTACTACCTGACTGCTCTTCAAAACATTGTACACTGTTCCAAGAGCCTAAAGTATAGTGATTACAGAAACCCATGATGGGGTCTTGTTTTGTTTCCCCCTATTAAGCCCATCAGCACCAAGTTTCCTGAATTCATGGAATCATTTACCAAAGCAGCATATTCCTCGTCCAGTATTAAAGCTGGATTAGGAAGAGTGCTTTTGAAATACAGCCCCTGGGGGCCTGGAATAGTTGTTCGCTTTTAATCCCAGCACTCAGAAGGCAGAGGCAAGCAGGTCTCTCTGAGTTCAAAGTCAGTCTTGTCTACATAGTGAATTCAAGAACAGCCAGAGGTACAGTGAGCGCCTGTCTCACATACAAAAAAAGAAAAGGAAAAGAAATACAGCCTCTATTTCTCTTCTCAGAGCGTATGATGACTCAGAATAGTCTTCCCTCTGCCTTCTGTGCTCACCAGACTGACTCCAGCTAGTGAAATCATTGGAATTTTGTTGCAAATAAGCATCCATCCCCACCTTGGAAAGAAAGGCTCTTCTGGTATGAGAAAATTGGTTTAGTGCAAACCCCTTCCCAAAAGAGGGTGACTGGTCCCCAAGCTTCCTTCTGTTCCCAGTGCGTAATTTACTACTTGCCTCACAGTTTTTTTAAGACAGGTATCCGTTCCTGGGAAATCCTGCTGATCACTGTGTCAGGATGCTTTCCAGTCAGCTCCACTTTAAGTGAATTGTTTGAGGTGGAACAGACCCTAAATTGGTCCTATTAAAGCAGGTAAGGCAAGAACTCTATAGACCCAGGATGTGAGGAAAATAGTTCATGGCGCTCTCATGTGGATGCATTCTCTGATGTTTAATTCAGCAGAGACTCTCAGAGAATTTTTGCTTTACACCCATTACATTCAAAGGCTTCTCTCCAGTGTGAATCCTCTGATGGCGAACAAGAGCTGAGCTATACCTGAAGGCTTTCCCACACTTGTTACATTCATAGGGATTCTCCCCTGTGTGGATTCTCTGATGCTGAATAAGGCCAGAACTGTAGGTAAACTTCCCTCCACATTCCATACATTCATAGGGCTTCTCTCCAGTGTGGATTCTCTGGTGCTGATAGAGGTGTGAGCTCTGGCTGAAGGCTTTCCCACACTCATGACATTCATAGGGCTTTTCTCCAGTGTGGATTCTCTGATGATGAATCAGGGTGGAACTCCTGCTGAAGGCCTTCCCACACTCATTGCAAGCATAGGGCTTCTCGCCAGTGTGGATTCGTTGATGGTGCGTAAGAGTGGAGCTCCAGCTAAACGTTTTCCCACACTCGTTACATTCATAAGGCTTCTCCCCAGTGTGGATTCTCTGATGTAGAATGAGAGCAGAGCTACAACTGAAGGTCTTCCCACAATCCTTACATTCATAAGGTTTCTCTCCAGTGTGGATTCTCTGGTGCTGAATAAGATGTGCGCTCTGGCTGAAGGCCTTTCCACACTCACTACATTCATAGGGTTTTTCTCCAGTGTGAATTCTCTGATGTTGAATGAGGTCTGAAGTTCGATTAAAACTCTTGCTACATTCATCACACTTATGGGGTCTGTCTCCCATGGGAAGTCTTTGATGTGAAGTAAGTTTAGAATTCACAGTGAAGCTGTTCCCAAACTCACTGTATTTCTCATTTCTTCCTCCCATATGAGTGAGCTTTTCCTCAACTCTCACTTGGTGAAACTCTTGGACGTTCCCATTCAGTCTTCCAACAGAGGAATTCCCTAGCTGCCTTTGCAGACTGACTTCTTGTTCGTAGGCTTCTTCAAACTTAAGACCCTGAGAAGCATCCTTTTGGAATGGCCCCAGTATCATCTCACATGGTGCCATACCTTCAGAGATTACTTGATCAGTTCCAGTTTTGCAGTCACCATCTAGCACAATTAAAAAAAAAAGTGTCATATGTTATTTGTGAGAAAATACAAGTCAGAGGACAGATAATCATTTGACATTTATAGTGCCCAAAGTACATACCCCTCTGCTGGCCTGAAGAGAGGCCTTTCAAGTTGTTTGTATAACTAAAGTAAAGTTAAGACAAATAGGCTAAAGAGACAGAAGGAATAAGGGAGGTAAAGTCGGCAAGAAAAGATGTGAACTCAGAGGAAGTCAAGGACATGCTGAGGTGAGAGATGGCCGGCTTTATTGGGAACAAAAACTAGGTAAGAGAAGCTAAAGAGTTAGCTCGAAGGTTAAGAGCACTTGTTGCCCTTACAGCGGACCCAGGTTTGATTCCCAGCACCAAAACAATACATTTCAAGGGGTACATAAGCTCCTGAACAAGAGTAGGTCCTTGGAATAATCTAACAGAAAAGAGAGGAACAGAGAGCTCTACAGAGTTCACTTAGTCATGGAGCACTCCCTTAAATGTCCGAAAATCCCAACATACTAATCCTTTAGAAGTCTATTTGTGACATGTTAAGTCGTGAAAACACAGGGCTTTGGTGTTAATAGAATGGGGCTCAGCCAGATGTAGTGGCTCACACCTATAACCCCAGCACTAGAGTGGCTGACGTGGAAGGATTGATTATACAATGTAAGGTCATCCTGGGCTACTTAATAAGTTCCAGGCTGGCCTAGGAGGGTGCAGATAAATGAATACCTCCGTGCATGCATACATAGACATACATAACAAGAAAAAACAGCAGAGCTGGAGGTTTGTCTGTCATCAGCTCTATCATCATGCAGAAGGTATCTAAGTTCGTTGTTTGTTTGCTTGTTTGTTTGAGGCAGGGTCTCTCTCATGTAGCCCAGGGTGGTCTCAAAGCCACTATGTGAACATATAACAGCTGGTCCACCTGCCTCTGCTCCTCAAGTGCCGAGATTACAAGTTCATGCTACCATGTCCAGTTGGCTTCTAACGGTCTTTTTGTTTTTTCCATATATGAGTGTTTGGCCTGCGTGTATGTATGTGTATCACATGCATGCTTAGTGTCAGATCTAGGGCTACAGAAGGCTGTGAGCTGTCGTGTGCTTGCAGGGAATCAAACACAGGTTCTCCAGAAGATCAGCTTAAGTTAACTACTGAGCCATCTCTCCAGTCTGCTTTTACACACCTATAAAATGAGGATAATACTAACCTCCTCAACTATGGAGTTACTGTGAGGAGTAAATGCAAGGTATCTGTGAAGCCTCCCAATACACTACAGATTACCCTGTAATGTGAGTTATTCTTACCATTACTAGTTTTTTTAAAAATTTATTTATTTTTAACGTATATGATTCTTTGTCTGCATGTATGTATATATGTATGCACCAAGTCTATGTTTATTGTCCTTGGAATCCCAGAAGATTACTTCGGATCCCCTGAAATGGAGTTACAAACAATTGTGAGCCTCCATGTGGGTAATAGAAACTGAACTTGGATCTTCTGCAAGAGTAGAAAATGCCATCTCTTGGGCAGAATTAGAGTTCTCTAAGACTACAGTGCCACTAGCCAACCCTGAAGCCAAGAGAGAGCATGTTCTGTCGAGAAGTACATGTCCTTACCCAGTGAGAACACATTCCCATAATTCTCCAGCATCACATCCCTGTAGAGGTCCCTCTGTGCAGGTTCCAAACGCTTCCACTCTTTCCAGATATAGTACACAGCTACATCCTCAAATGTCACCAACTCCTGAAACAGTCACATGGCCAGACATGCTGAAATTGCAAGGATCTGGACTGGTAAGACCAGACAACAGCCAGGAAGGGGCTGATAATACCTCTTTGGGATGTGGGCAGAGGTTGCAGCAATGCCAGCATGAACTTCCACAACAGGGTGCAATACTGAAGGTATAGTGATGAAAGTAGCTGCCTTCCAAGAGTCCATAACGGAAGTAATTTTTTTATTAGCATTTATTTATTTGGGGAAGGGGTATTACTGCACACATATGGAGGTCAGAGGTCAGTCTGAGACAGTCAGTTCTCTCTACCATGTGGCTACTAGGATTGAACTTGGATTCGCAGGATGGCAGCAGACACTTTATGTACTGCATCATCTCACTGACCCAGGTCTGTGGTCTTGATGGACAGAATTAGAATTTAGGGCACTTAATGAGACATCAAAAGGAAAAGAATGAAGGGAACCAAGGCTTACCTGGGAATTGGCCTTTAGAAGTGCAGCAGCCAGCATCTCGTCCCCCAGACTGTCCTTGTCAGGAAAGGAAGGGACTTTTGAAGAAGAAAGAGCTGAAGGACAATACCAGGACCAGGAGTCAATCTACCTGCTTTCTGACCCATGGTCACGTGTCTCAAAACCCACCAAACCACCCTGTCTCTCCTTTCATGAGTGTCGTACTCTTTTCTTTTTTAAATTCTTGGTGGGTCTGGGGCCCAAGCCTGTGCTTTGTGCTAAGCAAGTGTTCTGCCGCTGAGCTCCATCAACAGCTCCTCTTTCTTCAAACTGGGCCAGAGCCAGTTATGGTCTCACTTCCCTTCCATTACTGCAAAGTCTTTTAAGGGATTCTTTCTTCCTTCCTTCCTTCCTTCCTTCCTTCCTTCCTTTCTTTCTTTTTCTTTTTTGTTTTTTTTTGTTTTTTTTTTTTGTTGTTTTCTGAGACACTTTTAAGGGATTCTTAAGCAGAGAAAAGTGAGCAACTTCCCTCAAGCTCTGACAGAAAACACAACACCCACACCTCTTTTTAACATCCGCAGAGCAAATCTTTATCTAATACAATAGAGATGTTTCCTAGCTCTGAGCCTGACCACACACCTTTCCTCATCAGCCATAAGTTTGGTGTTTGTCTCTTAGGGCCTAGCCCACTATGTATAGCCAGATCTGATAAAAAGGACCCTACAAGCTGTTTTCTAAGAAACATGGGATCAGCAGACATTATGGTTGAAACCTGAGGCTGGAGCTCAGTGCTAAGTGCTTACCTAACATATGGATGGCTCTCGGTTCCAAACCTAGTAAATCATATCTCCCACAAAACTCTCTTAATGTTTGGGGAATTTTTTTTTCTCTATATGGGTGGAGGTGACAATGTCTGTGTGAGTGTGGATGCATGCATGCCCTGTGGAGGTCAGAGGACAACCGCAGGTGTCAGTCCCTGTCTTCTACCTTATTTGAGACAGGGTATCTTTGTGGTTTTTCTGCTATGTTCGCCATGCTAGCTGGCCTATGAACTTCTGAGAATCCTCCTGTCTAGCTCCTATCTCCCCGTAGGAATGCTGGGATTATATTCTTACTATACATCTGATTTAATGTAGGTTCTGGGGATTCAAGCTCATGTCCTCAAGATTCCATGGAAGACATTTATCCAGTCAGCCATCTTTCCAACCCCAAAACCCTTTAATGTTTAAAAGAAAAAAAGGTATGAAAATGTAATAAAACATCAGTTTAATCCCAACACTCCAGACACAAGTCAAGAACCTGGAAAATTCAAGGCCAGCCGGGGCTATATAGTAAGACTCTGTCTGAAAAAAATCAAACAAGCAAACCAAGTGTGCTGGCCCACACCCTTAACCTAGCACTTAGGATACACAGCAGGCAGATCTCTTTGACATTCAGATCATTCTAGTGTACACAGTTGAGTCTCTGGCCAGCCATGGCAACAAAGTGAGAGCCTGTCTCAGGAAAACAAAACACAAACAAGGAAACAACGGAAAGATATGAGAATGCCCCCACTCCGCGCCCCAACCTCATGCCTTACCACTCTCTAACAGGGGCAGAGATTCCTGAGATGCATGGTCTGCCTGGGTTTCCATGGGCAGGGGAAAATGCTCTGGTCACTGGTCTGCTAGCTGTAGGCACAGCAGGAGGCAAGTTTTGAAGAAGGACTGCAGAAGCAAGAAATCAAAACTGATTTTGAAATGCCTCCTGATTTCAGAAAGAGGGAACTGAACTTCCATACCCAGGAACAGTGAGAAGAAACACATGGGACTACTCCTTTAGATCCCTGTGAATAATGGCACTTCCTCCCTGTTATGAGACCATACAAGAAATCCAGACATCCAAATTTTGTTCCACTCACCCAACATTTTGAGTAAAAAGTGTTAACAATGAGGTGGCTATCATTCCACAGAATGAAATAACTGACCCGAGCCCAGTATGGTATCTCACACTAGGGAGGTGGGGGCAGGAAGATCAGGAGTTTGAGGCCAACCTGTGCTATAAGAAATGTTACCTTGGGACTAGAGGGATGATGGTTCAGTGGTTAAGAATACTACTTGGTGCCCTTCCTGAAGACCCAGGTTGAATCCCAAGCACCTAAACTGCAACTTGCAACATCTGGAACTTCAAACTCTAAAAAGAAACCTTACCTCAAAAGACAGTTTTAAGCTGGGCGGTGGTGGCACACGCCTTTAATCCCAGCACTTGGGAGGCAAAGGCAGGCGGATTTCTGAGTTTGAGGCCGGTCTGGTCTACAGAGTGAGTTCCAGGACAGCCAGGGCTACACAGAGAAACTCTGTCTTCAAAAATACAAACAAAAATAAAAAAGACAGTTTTAAAAGCTAACCCCAGTTATGCTTCCTCTAGCTCTACATGAGATCCTGCCTCACAGGAGACACAAGGGGCCGGAGTGCTGATCAGTGGTTCAGAGTACTGGCTGCCCTTCAGAGGACCCAGGGTTTGACTCTCATCATTCACATTGGTGGCTCACAACTTTCTGCAACTCCAGTCCCAGGGGATCTGATGCCATTTTTTGTCCTATGGAGACACTACATGCACATGGTACACAGATATATACACAGCAAAGCTCCCATCTACATAAAATAGGACAATCTGAGATGAGTATGAGACCTCATCTCAAAAAGGACAAAAACAACAAAATTACCTCCTTTTAAAGGTCAACCAGCTAGACTGTTACAAAGACTCTTGTCTCAAAAACAACAACAACAACAAAAAGGTTAATCAAAGGGACTGCAGACTTGGCTTAGTGGTTTAGAGGACTGGCTGTACTTCCAGAGGGACAAAGGTCAATTCCCAGCAGCCACATGATCTCCTCCTCTGGGCCTCTCAGGCACCAGGCACAGCGTGCAAGTGGTGGACAGACATACATGCAGGCAACTCACCTATACATTTAAAATAAAAATTCAAAAAAAGTGTACCGTTAAAATATTTTGCCGGGTGGTGGTGGCACACACCTTTAATCTCAGCACCCAGGAGACAGGGGCAGGCAGTAAGTTGGAGGCCACCCTGGTCTACAGAAAGTTCCAGGACAGCCAGGGCTACAGAGATAAACTGTCTTAAAACAACAAAAAAGTGAACCAACCACTTGGCATGGGTGGCACAGGCCTGAAATTCTATCACCTGAGAGGCTGAGACAGGATTCTGAGTGCCAACCTAGTCTCTAGCTCAAAGAAACAGGCATGCACACACACATACAACTTAAAAGCTGGGCATGATGATGCATGCCTTTGAACCTAGCTAGCACTTAGGAGGCATAGAAGTAGACAGATCTGAGTTCAAAGCCAGCCTAGTCTGCATAGAGAGTTCAAGGACAGCCAGGGCTATGTAGTGAGATCCATCTCAAAAACAGCAAACAACAGAGTAAAACTGTACGCCTAGCCATCCAGGTGTGGACAGGCCTTTCCCATGCCTTGTTAACTCTACTCTCTCAAGCTGCTCCTGAGGACCAAGAAAGACCACCTGACTGTAAGCACAGGTCAAGAGAGGCCTCGCCTCCTGAATCCTTCCCTTTTTCTTTGAAGTAACTCCCTATAAAACTAAAGTAGCAATGACTGGAAACTTAGCACCTTTTGTTCAGTTCTGAGGTTTTTGTCTGTTTGTTTTGGTCTTTCTTTATTGGGTAGGAATCAGGGTATAGCCCAGACTAGCCTGGAATTCACTCGATAGTATAAGTTGGCCTCGAAATTTATACTCTACCCCTGCTTCATTTGCCTCTGTGCTAGGATTACAGATGTGAGTAAGCCAATTTGGCTAATTCCTAGAAATTCACATTAGGTCAGTGTTTCTCAAACTTGTAGGTTGTGACCCCTTTGGAAGTTGAATTACTCTTTCACAGGGGTTACCTAAGACCATTGGAAAACACAGATATTTACATTACGTTTCATATCAGTAGCAAAAACTACACTTATGAAGTAGCAACAAAAATAACTTCATGGTTGGGGGTCACCACATGAGAAACTGCATTTAAGGGTCACAGCATGAAGAAGGTTGAGAACTACTGTTTTAGGTGCTACTGGTGCTGTATGATTAAGGAGTCAAAATGGAAAAATCATGTTTATTTCTAATATAGATACTTAAGAGGTATGGAGGTGAAAGGACTATGCTAGTAACTACCAGCAAAGACCATCACATACTCTCTTTTTACTACGTCCTAGAGAGCCAAAAAGAACAGAAGCTTCTCTGTGTTCAGCTAGGCTCTCAATGTCTTAGCCAGCTAACACACTGGACATACTTAGCCACTTCCGCAGGGAGCCTGCTCCAGCTTGTCCACGAAAGGGTATCAGGCAGTAAGTAAACTTAAAACCTATCCTATGCACAGGACATGAGATCTTGGTGAGGTCCCCGAGATTTCGGGTTCGTACCTCCTCCCAAGCCCTAGTTCTTACTGCTACCCAGAACTACTGTCACTCTCCGGTTCTCCGATCCAATTAAGGAAAAACTTCCTTCTCCTGCCGCCAGCACAGAAATCGGTGCACCGAGAGTACCAAGTTAGGGTGGCAGTCTGTCATCAGCTGTTTTAAAGAGAGGGACACCTCCGTAGCGACCCTGGGAATTTTAAACACTGGGGTTGAGGACGGTAGGAGACACACAAGCAGACCCGGAGTCCCACTACGCGACACTCGGGATCACGCTGCGCGCGTGCAGCTGGGGGTGCGGAGCTGGACAGCGACTGCAGGAGGAAGGTGGGCCCAGAACCCCCGCGGGCCGCGGACGTGTGAACACCAACCCCCTTCCCCGGCGACCACAACTTCCACCTCACCGCGAGTCCGGGAGATGGCCCACTCACCCTGGGGACAGGGACGTAAGACTTAGGGGGCCGGACACGAAACAGGTCCTGTTGGACCCTGTCACAGACCCACACAACCGAGAACAGAACAAAGAACGGAAATTGCCCCTCCCCATATCGTTTCCGGGTCGACCTTTCTCACCACCCACTACATCACCCGAAAGGCAAATGCCCACTTGCTCTCTCTAGGAAAATGGGAGGTCTTCATCTCTCGATGGTTCTCTGACTCAAAGAAGATTGGTGTGCGGGGAAAACAAGCGCACCAGACTGCGTCTCCTGCTGGCCAGGTTTGGAAGAGACGCTGCTTAGTCCTTGAAGAAGCTGGAGGTCCAGGAAATCGCGGGCACAAGTTCCAGTGGCTCTGAGAGTACACCATCACCCAAACCTCCATAGCAATTATAAGAAACTTGAAGAGTCCGTTAATATAAATGTACACCATGGGCCGGGCGTGGTGGCAAATGCCTTTAGCCCCAGCACTGGGGAGGCAGAGCCAGGAGGATCTCTGTGGTGTTCGAGGCCAGCCTGGTCTACAATACAAAACAAAACAAAAAACAGAAGTGTGCCATTGGCACTCAGTTTTTAAAAGATTTATTTTAATAGATTTATTTACTATTTATTTTATTTTAATATTTATTTAATATTTATTTAAAGATTTAATATTTTAATATTAAATATTTTAGTGAGTGTTTTCCATGCTTGTATGTATGTATGTATGTACACTCGATTCAGATGTAGGTCATGAAGCCATCACATCTTCTAGAACTGGGGTTTTGGTAACAAATGGCCATGTGAGTGCTGGGGATTGAACCTGAGCCCTCTGGAAGAGCAGCCAGTACTCTTAACTGCTAAGCCAACTCTCCAGCCCTTGGCTTTGCATTTAGATTGTTTGACTAGCCTGGCTGAAGTCCTGGGTCCCCATCCCCAGGAGAGCATAAACCAGACAATATGATATGGTACTGTATTCCTAGCATTTGGGAGGTGGTGGTGGGAAGATCAAGAATTCAAGTTTATTCTTCAGTACATACTGAGTTCAAAGCCAGCCTGGGCTGTATGAGATGTCCCACATAAATGATTTAGCACTTATGACTCTGGGATGGAGGTACACACCTATAATTCCAGTGCTTTAGAGCCTGAAACAGAAGGATAGTCAAAACTTTGAGGCCAGCTTTGATTACAGACTAAAACTCAGTCTCAAAACAAACGATAATAATTAACTACCTTATTAACAAGCACATATTTAAAATGAGATTCCTATAAAGCCTCACGTCTGAGGTTCAAGAGGAACCCTGAGGCAGATTGTGGTTTGGGGATAAACAATTTATTCTAAGGGTTAGTAATGCTACAGAGATTGTGCCGAAAGTTGTGAAGAGATTCCAAGCCAGGGAGACTACTAACAGGAGTGAGGGGTGATATCGCATCTTACAAGTTTTAGAGAGGTAGGTAACCCTGTTCCATGTCATTAATGAATAGTCAATAGTACACGCTAGAGAGATGGTAGTAAATATCGAGTACTGTTATTCCAGGACTGGAGTTCATTTCCCAGTACCAATGTCTGTAGGCTCACAACCACCTCCGACTCTAGCTCCAAGGGTAAGGAGGAAAAGTTTGGTTCTTTAGCTAATGTGTGTCCATCATATGAGATGTGGCACCTGTAACCGCTGATTGCTGTGTTTTTGTGCACTGCCTTAGGGGAAGTGAGGACTGCAGACTCACAGGAGCTGCATGTCTTTTTCTTTACAGAAGCTATGAGGATGGAGAAAGGGGTTCTGCAAGTCAGCATAGCCTGATTAGTCCTGAGCCCAAGTCTAACATTTTCAAATAAAATCTTTTAATTAGTCAACTAATTCATTGAACAGGGTATCACTCTGAAATTCTGGCTGGCCTGGAACTTGCTATGTGGACCAGGCTGGCCTGGAATTCACAAAGAGCCTTCTGCTTCTGCTTCTGCTTCCCTAGTGCTGGAATTAAAGCTGTGCACTACCATGCCTGGCTCTCAAACATTTTGATTGACACAGAATGCTCTCCTTGTGGGGCTGGAGAGATGACTCTAGTAACGGAAGCCTTTGTTACTGATGTACACACAACCATATCTCTCACTTAATGGGAATAAGAGGTAGTTTATTCTAAGTCCTATTTGAGTAATCCTGGCTGAGGAGTGTAGATTTAGGTTACCCCAAATTCCATGTTCTCACATGGAAGCAGTTTCATGTATTGTTACAGTTTTACAGAACAATGAAAGTCACACATTATAGCAAGTTAAACACACATTGGTGGTACATCAAGGAGAGAAGGCTACAGAAATCTGGAGCAAGCTTTTCTGCAGGCCCTCAGATGCTATCTGATGTTCTTAGCTTTTGGTTGGTAGAAGCTAGAAGTCTGTTAGTTAATAGATTCTAAATCTACAGGTTTAGATTTTAAATCGCAAGATGTTTTGACACAGAAGTGGGCAAGGAATGGCTGTTTAGGGGGCTATTTTTGTAATCAGACTCTGGACCAGTAACATTTCATACTGTCCACATTACTGGGGTTCTAATCAGTCTGTCAAACCCTACAGACACATCTTCCAAGTCTAGAAGCCTATAAACAGCTGACAGCTTTCATCTAACCAACTCCTGCAAGTTGTCCTCTGACCTATGCACACACCACACACCACACCACACCACACCCACACACACACACACCACACACACACACACCACACACCACACTACACACACATACGCACACACACCACACACACCCCACAACACACACACACACACACCCAAACACACACACACACCACACACACCACACACACACACACACACACACACACACACACACCAAATAGAGTAAAAAACAAGAGTGTTCTCTTATACATTATTATCGTTTTGTTTTTTGAGACAGGGTTTCTCTGTGTAGCCCTGGCTGTCCTGGAACTCACTCTGTAGACCAGGCTGGCCTCGAACTTAGAAATCCGCCTGCCTCTGCCTCCCAAGTGCTGGGATTAAAGGCGTGCGCCACCACTGCCCGGCTACTGCCTGACTTTTCTACACATTATTAAAATCTGAAAAAAAAATCATTTTAAGACAGAGGAAGGGGACCCATCTCTTCTTGAGCTCTAGACAGGTGTTGAGCTTTTTAAACATATTGTTAAATTGCTACTAGCATTAATGATGACATTTTCTTTGTTTTGTTTTTGCTCTAATGGATTTTCAAAAAAGTTTTTAATATAAAAACTCTCAATGTTTATTTTCCTATAAGTAACCAAAGATATTGGGAATAGGGCAACTTGAGTCCCTAACTATCATCTATTCTACCCATCCCTCTCACTGTCCAGGCTGCCCTGAGGAAAAGGACTATCGGTCGCAAAATTAGCCAGACTAGCCTTAGACCAACACCAGCAATCTGGGACACACAACAGAAGCCGTGAGACAGCTGTGTAAAGATTGAAGCTGATTTCCTAGTCTTCCTAAGACATAGTTTCCCCTGTGTGTTTGACACAGTTGCTACCAGATGTTTTGCTGTCATGGGCCTCTGTGAAATGTCAGCGAATCTGAAAGCATTTCTACCTTGACAGGAAGGGAGCCCTTCCCCTAGTAGAAGGACTACTGTGAATCAGTGCACAAACTTCAGTGACTGTGATCGGTATCAGATGGGTGTTATTGGCCCCAAATGAATGCCTGTGAACCAAATACTCTTTCTTGGCTATTTAAGCAGGTCACTTAGCCCCAGTTATTGATCCAAGTAGGAAAGATAGTTGTCTTGATCACTGTTCTATTGCTGTAAAGAGACACCATGACCAAGGTAACTCTTCCCCCCGACACACCTCCCCCCTTGAGACAAGGTTTCTCTGTGTAGCCTTGGCTGTAATGGAACTCACAAGTGACCAAGTCCCTATAGATTATATGCAACGTGAAAATTTTTATATCCTGAATAAATTGCATTCCCCGTTCCCTTTACAGCCTTTCCTCCTTTTGATCGCAGTTTTCTCTGCATCTAGTATTGACAGGGTATCCAATTTGAGCCCTGAAAACTAACAGTCCTACTTGGGAGGTAAAGGCAAGAGGATCAAAGTTCAAAGCCATCTTCAGATACACAATACAGAACTCATGGCCAGGCTGGTTTACATGGGAACTGGTAGCAGCAATACAACTCAACACACCGAGCAGCACCCTGGGCTATCAGTTACTGGCAGACGCCCCGCCCACTAGCGGCACCAAGTACTGAGCATGCACCCCTCGCCGACGGAAGCCGGGAAGGAAAGGGGCGGGCCGTGGTTGGCGGGCGCGGGGAAAATGGCGGCGGCGGCGGCTGCGGCGGCGGCGAACGGGAGCGGAGGCAGCAGCGGCATGGAGGTGGATGCAGCAGGTAACGGGGTGCTCGGAGCGGCTTCTGGAGTCGCCCTCGCGGAGTGTCTTGAGTACTTCTTAAACCTGGGGGAAGCGACATCTCTCTCGGGATAACTTGAGGGCAGGGATGGACGGCCCGGCTCTGCCGGTCCCTTGCGCCCATGTCTAGGGGAGAATGTGGGCCCGAGCTCTCACCCGTTATGTTTTTCTTTCACCTTTAACAGTCCCCAGCGTGATGGCCTCCGGAGTGACTGGGAGTGTTTCCGTCGCTCTTCATCCCCTTGTCATCCTCAACATCTCAGACCATTGGATCCGCATGCGCTCCCAGGAGGGGCGGCCTATGCAGGGTGAGTGTTGTGTGTAAATCTCAAAATCTCCTCTTGGAGATCTCCTCCAATCACTTTTCCCTTTCCTCTCCTTTCTTTCAAATTACTGTTTCCCCAGTCATTGATTCACACTGACTTCAGAGTCTCTGGAAAGGTTTTTGATGCTTGATCCTCAACGATTGTCCTTGTGCTTCTGCTCTCTCCCCTTAGTGATTGGGGCTCTGATTGGAAAGCAAGAGGGGCGAAATATCGAAGTAATGAACTCCTTTGAGCTGCTGTCCCACACTGTGGAAGAGAAGATTATCATCGACAAAGAATATTATTACACCAAGGAGGAGCAGTGTGAGAGGGGAATAGAAGTGGGTGGGAAGAAGTGGGAAGATTTTTGTTTTGTGGGAAGATTTTTGTTTTGTTTTGGTCTTAAA